CACAGGCTGATGTGCGTAGCATCGTCGCTCTGCGCAACTGTCTCTAGCTAATGGGTCGTTCAATAACCCAATTTCGTTAAGGACCATTTTACGTTTTGCAGGCTTCTGCCAATACTGCTTATACTTCAACATAGTATGTCAATACTTCATGGGTATGGAACATATGATGCTGACTGACGCAGAGCAAAGGGCCAAAGGCGTCATGCCACTGAAACCCTAATCTGGAGTTCATTTCATTTTTCAGTTCCAGTTCATTTCATATCCACTGATGACGGTTTTTGGACGACCTCCTGATTCCCAATCGCTGTTTAGATAAATATGATTGGACAACCATTGCTGTGCGATTTCGTCTCCAGGAGAAATGCATTTACCGTGATAGCTGGTTTAGTGCTTCCAGAAAACTACAATGCTAGCAATGGCATCATCCAGCCGTTTACAAGAATCGATCAATACTCTGACTGGCTGGAGCAGGCTCTGAGAGTTGGTATGAAGTCACCAAGTGGCATTTATCTGCTGAATGGCCGTGGAGAATTCACTGCCGATGAAGAACGGGTAACACTTGATTCTTTCAGTAACTTTTTCTTCTTCCTATTTACCTGTACACTGCATCACTTACTTGCATCCTTAGTTATTTGGCTATTAGCTATTGTGTTAATTTCTAATCGCCAAAGTAAGCTCTTACAAACTCATTTATTCACTAACACATTTTACGGCCTAGTCAATTGCATCCTGGGGTATTAGATTAGTGAAATTTTAAATTTGTTTCTTGTTGTCCATCGATTTCCTAAGACATTCAACAACTACATTACTCACTCAAGTACTTGCGTTGTTCTTTTACAATTCAGTCACTTGTTCACTTGCTAAATCACTTACTCATTTACCTATTAAATAATCTATTTACTTGTATGCTTAACCAAAAAGGTGATTAATTATTGTATGCCAGGTCGCAGTCATGATGTGGCGGCAGTGCGTTGGTGCCGCAATGATCTTTCACGCTATACCATCGGAAGCTTTGGTTTCTGGCAATGTCACACATCCCAAATAGGCTTGAAGGACCGCGTTAGCACCTATTCTATACCCTACCAGCCTACGAATAAGTTACTAAGGGCTGCGTTAGCCGTTCGGCAATTGAGGCAGTCTGTGATAAGGTCACGAGGAGAACCTCATTCGCTACTTTTTGAGCCTCTTAGCATAGCTGAATAGAGAAGGATACGCAGCTGGGTCGAAGGAAGAAGAATTCGTGGTTGCCAGGAGTTAATATCACATTCCTCTGAAGCG